TGTGTGTGTGTGTGTGTGTGTGTGTGTGTGTGTGTGTGTGTGTGTGTGTGTGTGTGTGTGTGTGTGTGTGTTTGTGTGTTTGTGTGTGTGTGAGTGTGTGTGTGTGTGTGTGTGTGTGTGTGTGTGTGTGTGTGTGTGTGTGTGTGTGTGTGTGTGTGTGTGTGTGTGGGTTGTGTGTGTGTGTGTGTGTGTGTGTGTGTGTGTGTGTGTGTGTGTGTGTGTGTGTGTGTGTGTGTGTGTGTGTGTGTGTGTGTGTGTGTGTGTGTGTGTGTGTGTGTGTGTGTGTGTGTGTCTGTGTGTGTGTGTGTGTGGGTGTGTGTGTGGTGTGTGTGTGTGTGTGTGTGTGTGTGTGTGTGTGTGTGTGTGTGTGTGTGTGTGTGTGTGTGTGTGTGTGTGTGTGTGTGTGTGTGTGTGTGTGTGTGTGTGTGTGTGTGTGTGTGTGTGTGTGTGTGTGTGTGTGTGTGTGTGTGTGTGTGTGTGTGTGTGTGTGTGTGTGTGTGTGTGTGTGTGTGTGTGTGTGTGTGTGTGTGTGTGTGTGTGTGTGTGTGTGTGTGTGTGTGTGTGTGTGTGTGTGTGTGTGTGTGTGTGTGTGTGTGTGTGTGTTTGGTGTGTGTGATGTGTGTGTGTGTGTGTGTGTGTGTGTGTGTGTGTGTGTGTGTGTGTGTGTTTGGTGGGTGTTGGATGATGTCAGAATTACAAATATGTCAAATGCGAGTTATGATTGAAGAGCTAGCCAGTAATGAACCAGTAAAGAAGCGACGTCTGAGTCAAGCATGATATTGGGCAAGGGGGCGGTTCAGTCAAGGCCATGTCTTCCTGAGGGAGCATTTATGGTGACCGTTCGACCTGACCCAGCCTCGCCGTACTCCCCGGGCTGGTTGTACTTGGGAGAGCTGCTGTTCTTCTGATAGAACTTCACCAGTCGAATAAGCCGGACCAGCCGCAGAAGCCGGACAACTCGGCCAGCCTGCAAGACTAAATGATATACTGGAGCTGGGCTCGCTTCATCTAGCACCTGGTAGCATTTCGTCTCGGGGAAACACGTTTGGGCCGCTCGTCGCGCCTTCGTGCCAACGCGGCTCATTCGAGCGGCCCGCGCGGCATCTGCGGACTGGCTGCTGCCCTGGTCAACTGGCCCCTGCACCACAGACGGCCCGGCATAGTCCTTAGAAACGTTTTGCAAGCCGGGCATGTCCCTGATTGGAGATTACGAATTCCGAACCCATATATGGTGAGTTGTGAGAATCAGAACAACAGCGCTCAGCAAGAAATTGGCCCATGCAAATAGACGGGTTAAGAGGACGACCATAAGCGCAGGAGGATTTGCTGTTGCTTCGGCCTTCTGGCCCACAATTCCAAGCGCTACCACAACATGCTGCCGGGCGAAGTCAGGTGCCCTTGCGTTTTGGTTCTGCCAGGCTACGGCTCCTGAAAAGGTCTCAGCTGCGCTGATGGCGTCACCGAACAATGTCTCGGAGACCTTGGTCGCAGTTTGCCAGACTTAGGTGCATTCAAGGCTGGCATCCATGTGGCTTGGGCTCACCTGAAGTCTCTCTAAATCAACAAATGCAGAGCAAAATGAGCCTTTGGACAGATGTTGCATTCTGCTGCAGAATATACGGCATGCGTTTCGCACGCGTTTCGAAGAAAGAGGCCGAGCGGCGAAGGTCAAATCCAGCACCAGGGTGACCGTAGATCCAACATCTAGCACAAAAAAGAAGCCGCACAGGTATCCCTGCTTCCCAAAGGTGTTGATGACCACCTCCATGCCAAAGACCACCATTGTGATGGCAGTAAGGTAGTTGAAGGTATCATCGGCCGCTTTCTCCGAAAAGATCAATCGCACATCATCTCCGATCAGAGCATAGATCGTGAGCAGGGTAGTGACCTGATATTGATTGAACCCTGAAAGGTAGATGAGCTCAGCCAGTACCCCAAGTCTCAAATGCACCAAGCACGTCCAGCCCTTTTCTCAAACACACTCAAAGACCCTGAGCCAGCGACAAGAGAAAGCAGCGAGTTGGACGCAAGTCGTTCACAAAACCAAGAAAGAGCAGTACATCTCCTGCGCTGCGTACATTCACACACACCCTTTGGGGGACCGCCCAAACGCACCACCACCTGCCCAAACACACCCTCTTGGGGAAGACTAAATAAAACAGACCAAAAAGGAAGTGTGTTTGGGGGCTAGTGTGGTTGGGGTCTGGGTCTCTCGCCTTTACCTGTCGACACTTCTTAAGTCTTTTGGTGACCTCGTGTACCTCTAAAAAGGTGTTCGGAGATGTACGAAACCCACTGTATGGGCCGAATGCGCATGTCCTTGGCTTGGCTTGGCCAAACCAGTTCTCTAGGTTGTCGAAGGGAGAATCTTTCAGCCTCGCTCGTTTTCAGCATCTCTTGAACCCCCCCCCCCCAGGGATGGCCATCGGTCCTCACAGTGGCTGACTGTTCAAGCTCTGATTAAACAATCTGCATCTCCCTTCCCTTTTCCACGAAACCCACCAGCTGGGAATGAATGGATAAACCACCCCTACCAAGGGTTTTTGTCCAACGCACACTGACGCGCTCGGAATTGGCCAGCTCTATACTGGTCCGCCTCCTGTTCACGGATACCTGAGGGTGCGGTTGGATTGGGGCCAGCTCTGTACCGGCCTGACCGGCAACGAGGCCCGGGCAACGGATCCGCTGTGGCCGAGCGAGCCTGGCCACCGCTGCCCTCTGAAGCGGTGTCGAGCCCCGATGAGCGTTTCATTCACACCTCAGAGCGCACGGCTCAAGACCGCCACGCCTTTTATCAAAGGGTTGGAGTATAGGAAATTCTACAAAAAAAATGTTTAGGGTGCTTTGAGGCAATTTCCTGTGGATTTTCCTGTAACCAAATCCTTTGATTTCATCGATTGCAACTGTAGAACACATGCTGATTTCTGTCATGGGTCCTTTCTCTAAGCAACCACCAGCGAGCAAAACGACCTTTGAAACGTCGGTTTGCACTGAGCCCAACGCAAGTCACTGCATATGTGACGACGCGGGTCTGACACCTAAAGGCCTGTAAAAGTGCGTTGGGTTGAATTGTCTGCTGCGCATCGGAAACTGTGCCTCATGTTTTGCGTACTTCACGTGCCAAATCCAAATCCAACGATCCATAGTACAAATCAATGCTGACGCTCTGCGCAGCCCCTTCCTTGATTCAGGGCGGCCCGACGAGCACCAGGGATTCAAGAAGCACATGCTGCAGATGCCGGCATTGTCTGAGAACTGCAGTCGCTGTGCCGCCCTCTCTCTCTCTCTCTCTCTATCCCTCTCTCTCGCTCTCTGTCTGTTTCATTAAAATGTCACGTAGCCCAGACGGAATGTCTAACATCTCATCCAGTGAGCGTCATCAGTCCTTTCGAAGATGTTCGCCATCTCCGCTTGGTCTGCTTTGGACTTCACCTCAGTGTGTGTCTGCGTGTGAGTGTGTGTGTGGGTGTGTGTGTGTGTGCCGCTGCTTTGCAGTAGGCAACACTCGGGCGCAATGAGGTCTTTTTGGCCATTGGTCCGCCCACGGTTGTTTAACCGCGGCCAACATCCATCTGACCAACTAGCAAACACATTCCCAAAACCTAACGATGCGCCACATTCCGTGTTTTCCATCAGCCCATACAATGCAACATGAACCTGCTGTTGCAGAATCAATGTCAAGCCACGGCATGAGCAAGTGCCACTGCAGAAACAAACAGCACCCAATGTTCAAACAATTCCGTCTAAAGCAAGATCTAACACGGCTCAAACTTCATGATCAAAGAAAACGGTACTGGTACCGCCACACAGTTGCCGCTGGCCACTGGCATTCCGCAACGGTAAGCTCTGCATCATCATACATATGCCAGGTGTCTGCTATCAAAACCTGGAATTAAATGGATCTAGCCACACACATGTACATGCTTACTTCTTGTTGGGACTGTTCCGTTCTACTCGTAGCTTCATCCACCTGGGTTTTGTTTGTCGCTCGTTTGAATAACAAATGAGCTTCAGAGCTTGTTGGATGGCAGGCGTGGCGTGTAAAGCATCTATCAGCAGCTCAATATCTGTCGAAATAGGGTGACCCGAACATGGTGGTCTTCTTGCTTTCCCGCCAAGCCAACTTTAAGAAGAGCACCCTCAAAGATTCGCACACCCATCTATCACCCCATCTACCCCATCTACAACACGCCACTAGATTTGGCCCCACTGCGGATTTTCTGTTGTGCCCTGGCAGTTGTGGCCAACTCTTAAACAATGAATGTTGCCAACATCGGGGGGTTTTCTCATCGCTTTGAGCACCCAGCGCGCCTGGCTCAGCACAAGCCCAGGCGGCCGTGCTTTTCAGCGGCAAACCGCTTGATCCAACGCTCGGGTGGCCACGAGTTCAACCCACGCGTTGTTTGTCGGGATGCCCTGCCAATGGCGCAAAAGGAAACGGAAAGGAAAACGACGGGGTCACCCATGAGACACCAAAGCCCCAAGTTTCTGCGACTGTTCAGATTGGGGCAAATGGGAAGGTCTCAGAATCGAGTATAAAGGAACTTCGAGACGCGCATGCGTTTCTCTCTGCGCTGGGGCCTGCAGAGCCACGATCCGGAGCCAAGGCTCACTCCATGGCTCCGTCTTGCGATGTCTCTGAGATATCGAGAGTAACACGAGCGACGGCGTCTCTCGCCCGTGTGCGCTCGAAAGGGCCAGCAACCCTTCGCCCTAGCCTTTGACTAAACTGCTGGCTAGGCCTCTAGTCTATTTGACAGAAATTTGCCACTCACTCCGCATGTCTACAAATGGCTTGACCTGGCACCCAGGGACAGACGCCACGCCGAAACAGTCACAATGTAGAGCAAGTGCTTGTGTTGTGCTCACAATCAGAATTAAAGCATCCATGAACTATTCTCTCCCTTGAACCATGTTGGCCACTTCCTGCTCTAACAGCAGTTGCAGCCTTCACCACTGCAGCGTGCAGCGCACTTCCATCCAGGGCTCGCCTCAGGGGCAAGCCAATTATTTCAAACAAACGGATGCTTACAAGTCGCGCGACGGCGTCGGTACACTCGCACGAGCTTGAGCAGCAAATAGCACGGCGTGTGCACGAACTAGCCCAACGCATTCCAAATAACGTCTTTACCGAGCCAGTACACCAACACTGCCTCAAACTGGTCCTTTAACTTTGACCAAGCCCCTGACTAAACCACAACATATCCCGCTGAACAAACAACGTCTTTACCGAGCCAGTACACCAACACTGCCTCAAACTGGTCCTTTAACTTTGACCAAGCCCCTGACTAAACCACAACATATCCCGCTGAACAAACCTGGAGTCAGCCGTTCACAGTTTAGGTTTCGCGAGCAAGGCTGCATTTGTTTGCGTCCAGATGTTCCCTGACTACAGCCTCGCCGACCGACTGACGTGCTTTCCTGACTAATCGTTTCGGCAAAGACTAGAAAAGGTGAGAACTGGGGAATAGAAGCGGAAAACTGGCGGGCTCGGAGCAGGTGTGGAGCGGGGCCCATTGGGTGTTTTCTTCCTACGATTTCACTTTGCTGCCGCAACCTCTGCGGACTTTCGCGGGGTCGACCACAAAATGCGGACTTTCGGTGGGTCAACCCGAAAAGACTTGCGGTTGTCTGCGTTTGTCACCTTGGTGGGCTGGAGAAATGGAGAGAGGGGGAGCGAGAGAGGGCGAGAGAGAGAGAGAGAGGCACAGAGACAAACGAGGCCGGCGACGCACACATCCTCGGCACATCCTCGGCACATCCTCGGCACATCCTCGGCACATCCTCGGCACATCCTCGGCACATCCTTGGCTCCCGAGCGATTTGGGCACCGGCAATGCCACGGCCTTGCCGGCCACCGTCGCCTCTGCGGACTGCGGGGCCGACTTCAGGCCGAAGATTTCCACCTCGGAGCAGGAAGCTGCTTGGAGGTGTCCGAAGGGTCTGAAGGGTCTGAAGGGTCTGAAAGGTCTGAAGGGACTGAAGAACTGCGTCTGGGGTTTGAAACGTCCAACAATTGGCCCCTGCCCTTCAACATGTGTCCGAAAGGGGGCTATTTGCGAATAACTTGATAGCCTTCCTACATCATGCCGTCGGAAGGGTTGATCCAGATTTGGAGTCTGATCTCGGGGGCATGCAACAGAGTAGAAACTGATTGCAGTCCCCATGCGAATCAAAGAGCACTTCAAAGGGAACTTGGAAGGGGGAAGTGTTGGGTTGCAAACCCCTTGCAAGATAAGCCCTGCCCTGGCTCGGCCCTGAGTTCTAAGATGACAATGCCTGAGCTGCGCACCCGCTCGATCTCGGCTCCGACCGCAGCCTGCAAATGCTCAAGGAACGACCTGGATTCCCTGACCGCTCTGAACGCTTCAAAGCCAAACCACCACAGTGATCAGAAAGCCATGCAATCTTACCGGAGTTCGACAACATCAGCAGCAAGTTGGATTTCCAAGTAAGTTGGATTTCCAAGCTGACCCAAATAGTAATAGGGTTTAGGGTTTAGGGTTTAGGGTCACCGGAGTTCGGTCACAACATCAGCAAGTTGGATTTCCAAGTTGACCCAAATCATTTGCCTCTGGCAGCTGTCCCCGCGAGGATGCTTTCAGGATGCCGTCCTGGGCACATGGTGTACTCTGTGCGAAACTGTCTCTTTCTCGCTCCCTACTAACGGGGACCCCTGATTGACAAACCCCAATGCGTGTTCCCCGCCAAAAGTTGTCTGATTCCCCACATTTCACCCAGAGAGAAGCACCCCGCCTGCGAATAAACTGGTGGGTTGGTTTTCCTACTGTGGATGGACAAAATCCTGCACCACTTGGAAACCATGGGAAACCATTGTTTATTGGAATTTACAGGGGAGCCATCATTCAGGGTTCCTTAAGTGGTGCAGGATTTCGTCCATCCACAGTATGGGGTCAACATTCATCAGGTCCTTGAACTCCAGCTCGATATCCAGAAAGCTCTTACCGTCCTCGCCGCGTGCGGTAGCGCCGCTCAGGAATGTTTGGGGACAGGCGCAATGCCCTGCCAGCGCACAGGCGGCGGCCGCACCTTTTCTCGCGCCTCGAAGGCAGCCGGCCCCAAGTTCGCGCCATCCTTAGCCAGTCTGGCAATCACTCCTTGAACATCGTACACAATGCTGCGATGTGCAACCTCGAAACGCCAAAGCACGGCCAAGAACATACCAAACTGCCTACAGTTGCATGGCCATAGTTTTCCTATAGCCTGGGGGAACGTGACGGAGATCATGATTTGGGTCCATTGGTTGCCTGGTGTTTTGTTCTCGGCAGCCACTACTCCGGACGTTTCTGATTTTGGGGCATGGGCTCAACATCCTCCGGGTGGGCCCAAAACAAGAGGTTGCAATCCGGGGATGTGCCAAGGGCGACCCACGAAATGATGAAGCTCTCCTTTTGGTTTCCCTTTCAAACCTCCAAAACAACATGTGGATGCGTTTTTGTTGAGTTGGTACCCCCCCCAGAATGACCCCTATAAACCATCCAACTGGTGGTTTCCCGGGATAAGGGAATCCCCAGGTTCCCTCATTCCCTGCTGAGCACCAGCAAGGTTTTTGCGGGTGTGCTCCATCTTCCGCGCGAGCCGCCTTCCGCGCCCAGGTCCGTGCCGAAGACACGCAACACCGCCGTGGCGGCTTGGACGCCCCAGGCCACCGCCTCCGGCCTGGCGATCTTTCGGTCGCTAGAAATGCCGGCCGCTTCCGTGGAACGAATTGGCGTGAGTCGCCCGGTTTTGGTGGTTCTGGTGGGACTTGTTTTTGTGGTTTTGGTGGGTGTGTGTTTTTGCTTGTTTTTAAACATTGTTGCGTCCCCTGTTTGTTCTGTGGACCAATGGCGTGTCCCGTGAGGTTTTTGGGGCGACCCCCGGTGTCGGGGGCAAAGTGCTAAGTTTCCTGGTTTTGGTACCAGTAGAGGACACTTAGAGAGTTCCCCTATGTCCCGCCCAAATGGACCATGGCCTACTGTACTTTTGTCCGAGCGTGGCCATGTCTTAATTTTGAGGGTACCTGCACAGGTCTCCTTTGGAAGACTGTTCTCCCAGAAGGGACAATTTGCAATTCCATATTTGGGGGGGGGTCAAAGGGAAACCACAGGCAGGCCACCCTTGGGGATCTGCTTGAAATGCGAGCCACAGGTGAAGTGGGAACGTTCGGCAACACATGCAACGCAATTTTGTCTAGGGCAAGCTTGGGCCGCTTTTGGCAGCCTCAAAGAGCTGCCTTGAAAGTTTGCACACACCTTGGAAGTTGTGCTCTAAGAAGGACTGCAACACCCAGACTGAGATGGCCAACACCAAACACGACATTGTGGAATTGAGCGACGATGGTGAACCGTCATCTTCAAGGGTTAGCTTACCAGAGGCGTGTTGGCAAGTGTCCTATCTCAGTATCCCTGTATCCATTTGCCGCTCATTGATGTCCATACGCCCACCCTTCGAAGAGTCAAAGGCTTTGCGAGTCGATTTTGAATGTTTATAACTTATAACTCAGGAAGTCGGCAAATAAAAATGGTGCTCGCAGAAAAAGAGATATCGCCAGACGTCATCTGGCAAGGGCAGATTTGGTCCCTGGATCAGCGTGTGGGTCGCTGCATTCAGTTCCTCCTTGGTGAGTAGATCCCTCCAAATGCCCTATCATGTGCTGCAAACTGCGGAATTCCCCGTGCACTGCTGGAGTGCATCATATGTCCCAAAAAGAAAACCACGCGGGGTCATCTCAAACCAAACGGCCAAACCTTCGCTGTCCTGAAAGCCTGCTTGGATTTGCTGGATACCCTCCCCCAGACTACCATGGAAGCTCCCAGGACGTTTTTTTGGAAGACTTGCTCCATTGACAAGATCGGCCTTCTGGGAGCTTCCCCCCTTCCCTTCCCCCCCTTCCCCCTTCCCCCGCCCTTCCCCCTTCCCCCGCCCTTCCCCCCACCCCCTACCCCCCCGCCCTGCCCCCCTCCCCAAGTCAGTGTAATCCCCCAGCGCGGCACTCCCCGCGGCTGTGCTCCGAAATCCACCCGTCTGAGGCCGGGCCTCCGCTGCAGCCAGGCCGCCAGGAAGCCTCCGGCGAAGAAGTCCCCGGCGCCGGTGCTGTCCACTGCCTGATGGGAACCCAGAAGTCGCCTTCGAAGGGGGAGCGGGGAAGGGGAAAGGTGGGAAGGGGGAAGGGGGAAAGGGAAAGGGGAAGGGGAGGTGAGAAGGGGGAAGGGCGGCCGGGGAAAGGCAGGGGGGAAGGAGCCAGGATCTTAATGGATTCAATGGACGGTATAAGCATGTGTGTGGTGTCAGGGAGTCTTGCTGTTTGGGGGCCGGTCATGGTTTTCTGTGCGTTTGAAGGATTCATGGGCCGTCCAAAGCAAGACCGCAAGTGGTATGTCGATTGTGCATGTTGAACCGCTCTTTGGCCATGGTGCAGCCCTCTCCGCTTCCATAGACTCTTTTGATGAGCTAGTGGCCAAACATTGCATCAACACCTGTTCCTTGCGCGTGTCCTCTAGTTGGGCAGCTCTATGGGTGTCCGCCCTTCATGAAATCGGAAGCAGGCTGCTTGCGCAACATTGCACACTTCCTGTATGTGCAAGTTGGAAGGATGGTGGCCATAAGTCGCGCAAAGCTGCCGCAGCTAGCTCACAATTGTCGTCGTCGTCATCATCGTCGTCACCATCATCGTCATCATCGTCGTCCTCGTCATCGCCCTCGTCGTCGTCGTCGTCGCCGTCGTCGTCACCACGATGGTTGTCATCATTGTCATCCTTATCCTCGCCCTATTCTCATCCTCATTCTCATTCTCATCCTCGTCATCGTCATCGTCATCGTCGTCGTCATCGTCGTCGTCATCCTCGTCATCGCCATCGTCGCCGTCGTAGTGGTCACCAGCACCGTTGTCATCATTGTCATCCTTATCCTCGCCTTAATCTCATCCTCATTCTCATTCTAATCCTTGTGATCGTCATCGTCATCGTCGTACTATCGTCGTCGTCGTTGTCGTCACCAGCACCGTTGTCATCATTGTCATCCTTATCCTCGCCCTAATCTCATCCTCATTCTCATTCTAATCCTCGTGATCGTCATCGTCATCGTCGTCGGCGTTGTCGTCCTCGTCGTCATCGTCATCGTCATCGCCATCGTCATCGTCTTCATCGACATCGTCATCGTCGTCGTCCTCCTCCTCATCATCATCATCATCACCATCACCATCCCCATCCCCATCCCCATCACCGTCGCAATGCCAGTGACCATGGAATGCAAGGAAGAATGTTTGGAGCAAGTTGCTGCCAGCTCAAAATCATCCAGCTGCCTAACATCCACCTGACTGATGCTTTATCTAGCAATGGTTGAACACATGCCTGCATCTGGAGCAAGGCACGCCATGCCCAAGAGTCTTATTGCTGTTTGCTTCCAATTGCACCCCAGGCGACTCTTTGGGTCGAAAAAAACTCCTCCGGACCCGGCCTCTACAGCGTCCACGGCGTGAAGCTCCGGCTCGCCGTGGTGGAAGCAGGTCCAAAGACCCCGGGAGCCCAGCGTCAGCACCTCAGCAGGGCCGGCCAATGCGCACACCCGGCTGCCTATGAACCCGCGGCTCCAGTCATTTCCCAGAATTCGTGGCTTGACCCTCTTTAGGAAAATTTCAAGCCCTCATAGACACGTTCCAGGTTTCCAGGTTGCTTTAAAGGGACAGGAAAATCCCCGCGGGTCCAGACCCCTTGTAAGCTTCCAGCTTGGCCTTTCAGGGAAACCCGCAGGAAAATCCCCAGAAGGGCTCCAAGCCCACCTCTTTTCCACGCCGCTTCCGATTCCTCCGATTCCGAGGCCCTGGCGGTCACTTGGCACCAGGCGCCCAGCTCCGCCGTCAGCGCCGCGGCGCTCGTTTCCGGCGCCGTCAGCGCGGCGGCCTCCGCCTCGTTCAGCATCAGCACCTCGAGAGCGAGCGGCTCAAAGCGTGCGGCAAGTGGTTAAGCCAGGTACCCCACTGAACGGAGACTGAAAAAAGATGGCTTTTGTGGGTTCTATCCAACTTAGAACCACGGCTTTTGTGGGTTCTAACCAACTTATAACCATGGCTGTTGTGGGTTATAACCAACTTATAACCATGGCGGTTATGGGTTCTAACCAACTTAGAACCACGGCTTTTGTGGGTTCTAACCAACTTATAACCATGGCTGTTGTAGGTTATAACCAACTTATAACCATGGCGTTTGTGGGTTCTATCCAACTTAGAACCACGGCTTTTGTGGGTTATAACCAACTTATAACCATGGCTGTTGTGGGCTCGAACCAACTTAGAACCACGGCTTTTGTGGGTTCTAACCAACTTATAACCATGGCTGTTGTGGGTTATAACCAACTTATAACCATGGCTGTTGTGGGTTATAACCAACTTATAACCATGGCGTGGGTGGCTTCTAACCAACTTAGAACCACGGCTTTTGTGGGTTCTAACCAACTTATAACCATGGCTGTTGTGGGTTATAACCAACTTATTTTGTGGGTTCTAACCAACTTATAACCATGGCTGTTGTGGGTTATAACCAACTTATAACCATGGCGTTTGTGGGTTCTAACCAACTTAGAACCAACGGCTTTTGTGGGTTCTAACCAACTTATAACCATGGCTGTTGTGGGTTCTAACCAACTTATAACCATGGCTTTGTGGGTTCTATCCAACTTATAACCAACTTATAACCATGGCTGTTGTGGGTTATAACCAACTTATAACCATGGCGTTTGTGGGTTCTATCCAACTTAGAACCACGGCTTTTGTGGGTTATAACCAACTTATAACCATGGCTGTTGTGGGTTATAACCAACTTATAACCATGGCGTTTGTGGGTTCTAACCAACTTAGAACCACGGCTTTTGTGGGTTCTAACCAACTTATAACCATGGCTGTTGTGGGTTATAACCAACTTATAACCATGGCGTTGTGGGTTCTAACCAACTTAGAACCACGGCTTTTGTGGG